GATAAAATATGGAGTTTGGCCCTAAATGATATTTGCCCGCACATATTACTTTTTTTGCCCCATAAAAATCTTTGGAATCCCATTAATAAAATGACTAGCCACATAATTAAAAGCAAGTATAAATACACATATTTAACAGTAATTTGAGTTCACTGATCAAAAAATTATATTTCCACTTAAGTCACAAAATCATATCACATTGTCAGTTTGTTAAAACATTATATAACCGCACAGGAAGCTGAAGAAGTTATTGAAAGTGAGAATCAATTGTTATATAAATAAAGTAACAAGCATTAGATTATTAAGTTTTAAATAAGGTAATCCGCAGCATTTGGTCATTGAGCTCAAAACTTAAAATTCAGCATTGCTCTATACGGTTCTCGTAGCCTAAGACTTGAAAGATTTTTGGTTACTAAATAGAGTAGTAAGGGTATTAAATATTTGCTAAAATTTCAAAATAGTTGTAGAGAGCTCAAATTTAGCATGAAGGTAGCTATTGGATTACAATGGAAGAATATGGATTCGAATTATCATAATACAAAATGCCAAATAAATCTAACAACTTTTATAAATCGGTATGAGTCACCCTTTTACAATTAAATTCGTAAAAATTTTACATATACGTGGGTGATCCAATAAATATTTTCAAAAGGTACGTTCCGCACCGTTTCTGACCAAGCTTTCGATGAAATCACAAACCTCAAATACACTTAGGAATTCGTGATTTTTTTCAGTTCTATCGGTTAAAAGGAACACCCATAATAAATCATAAAAATTTACCTCGAAAATATGGCAAAATTTACGACTTGATTCCATTATCATTCCAAAATCGTTTCCCCCTGATGTCTTTCTATGAGTTTCGAAACGAATAATAATCACTAAGGGTCAAGTCTGGACTATACGGGAGGTGGTTTATAAAGGTGAAGCGATTTCCGTCTGCAGCAGCCCTCACAAAAAGCCAGGTATGAGGTGGCGCTTTGGCGTTCAAAAAATGCACCAACTCTTTTTTTGGACCACACGTTTCTTTTCAACCGCAGCACACAGCTCCTTCTGGGTTCCCCAATACGAGGCCCCATTTATCGTATTATTTTTAGCAATAAGTTTTATAAGGTGGGGACCTTTGGTTTCCTTGGAAATGGTAATCCTCGATTTTTTGTCAGATTTTTGGACTTTGGCTTTCATGGGCGGTGGCAACCCCCCGTGCTTCCAGTGCATGAATTATTGTTTGGTCTCCGGGTCATAATAGTAAACCCAAGTATCATACCTACCTATTAAAATATGAAGCACGTTCTACTTTTCATTCAAAAGGTCAAAATTAGCATTACAAAAGTCAACTCGATCCATTTTTTGAGATGTCGAAAGCAATTTTGGTACCCAACGGGAGAAGCCATTTTCATACCTAAGTCTTCAGTGAACATGGAACAAATTATTGGTTTTGGAACACCCATCTCATGTGCTAAATAGGACAGTTTCAATCGCGGATCTCTTATTCTTGGTTCCTCTAGTTTCCGGAGCCTTTCTGTGGAAGAAAAAGATTTTGGGCGCCCTAGCGGCTTTTTGTCCGAGACCTCTTTTCGCCATCATTTGAAATTATTGACCCAATTGAATTTGTGTTTTGTGTCGGGCAGTTTTCATCGTAAATTTTAAGCATTCGATCATAAATCTGCGACACGTATTGCCCCTCCAACATTAAAAATAAATCACACTACGATATTTAATTTGCAAATCTGACATTTTTTCCGTCGAGGTAAAGTTTGCTGATTTATTGCTAGTGTTTATGTTAACCTACAGAACTGAAAAAAATCACAGCCTCCTAAATGCATTTGAAGTTTGTTATTTCATCAAAAGTTTGGTCAGAAACAGTGCGGAACATACCTTTTGAAAATATTTATTGGACGACCTACGTCTATAGACTTCCAGAATTTAAAAAATCACCGGTCTTTAACACAAAAACTTAGGGTACCTCTGGTTAATTTATTTTGCAATTTGACTTCATCGCTGTACCTTGTTAATCATTAGCAACTTAAATGCCAAATCTCCTCTCTATTGGATGAATATGAAAAATAGGTTTGAGTCACCCCATATGATCCCACAGATGATCCCATATGATCCCACAGATCTTAAGTTCAATCCATATTCTTCTATTATAATTCAATATCTTCATCCAAAATTTCAGCTCTTTACAACTATTTTTAAATTTTAGCACATAATATCCCCACCACCCAATATCATTCATGGCCTAAACATTTAGGCTATGAAAACCGTATAGACGAATGCCGTATTAGCATCCTGGGTAGTTAAAAATGTTTTAACTGCGAATCCAATAATTTTATACGTTTAGTGGGCTGATTTTCAATTTTAGTATCACTGGATTTCTTGTCACTACTTGCGGAATCAAAATCGAATTGTTTGGCGTACACGATGAGATTAAAACTTACTAATGGTTAACCAGACAAGGTGATATGGTTTTGTGACTTGAGTGGAAATATAATTTTTTTGATCAGCGAACTCTAATTACTATTAGATATGTGTAAGTGTATTTATACTTGCTTTTAATTATGTGGCCAGTCATTTTATTAATGGGATTCCAAAGACTATTATGGGGCAAAAAAAGTAATATGTTCGGGCAAATATCATTTTGGGCCAAACTCCATATTTTATCGGGGAAAAACCATATTTTTATGGGGGTCGAAAATTATATCTCCCACTGTGGCATTAATTTTCTACTCGATATTATCATTATTAATTCTGATAAGCTCAAGTTTTTAATTTGGGGCGATTAGATAGTTAAAAAATCGCAAATTTCAAGTTCGGTAATTAGTGGCCGGAGTTTGTTACGGCTCCTGCGATATAAGATGGCCCCCACACCAACTTTGACCCCAAAAATCTCATGGTTCCAGTCATTTTGCTTCGGACAACAAAAGCTGAAAATGTAGCTCTTCTATGGTAGAAAAATCTGGCATCAGGTTGTCAGCCGCAAATTGACTGGAACCATGAGTTTTTTAAGGATTTATGTGTAGGTAAAAAAAAACGCGAATTTTCGAATTTTGAAACTCTTAATGCATCAAAATGTTCGTATTCATGGGGGAATCTAAATTGCAAATGCAAGTTGGTATCTAATTCTTGTTTTACGGAGTGTAAACTCACTTTCTCATTTTTCGAAATTTCCTTCCCCCATTTTTGAAAGGGGGGCAGATACACATATTTCAAAAATTGTTGTGTCATATATATCCTTGCACCCGGAATTCTATTTGAAATTTTTCGTATCAAAATCGGTGACATCGATGCGACAAACATTTGCACAGTTGGGTCGGCCTTGCTCTTAATTGGAAGTGTATTAATAGTTTTTTTTAAATTAAAATTTTAAAATTATCAAACTTTTTAGCCCAATCTAGCTAAATTATTCCTGACATTAAACAAATTAAAAGCAGTATATATATTGTTAGCCCTTTATTTATTTGACGTCACGCCTGCAGCAAGGTCACCACGATTTAAGAAAATATATTTTGTTTAATCGTTGAAAATCTATAAAAGTATAATTATATATTTTTTTGAACACTTGAAGTATTTATACTCACTTTTTTCCATATACATACACATTTATGTAGATACATAACCACAAATCTTTCGTTAATGCATATTCGACAATATATTTCTGAATAAGATAACGTCACAATGGTAAAAAATTATTCTCTTACAGGAATGTTGAACCGGTCGGACGCTACGTTTTTTATAATCGTCTCTAAGGGTTTATTATTATGCGTCTAGTATCATATTTAGTATAAATTCGCAAATTTATGGATTCGTAAATCTTTAGTTAAATTTACACCCTCACTAATAGGAAATTATGTTGCTGACGTGCTCACCATAATACTTAATTGTTTTCTGTCGAAAATTCAAGAATACAAATTTCACACAGAAATAATATGTAGTAGGGGCCGGGCCCGAAAAAATTCAAAGGGCCGGGTCAGGCAAGTTTGGGCACTGGTAGTTCATCCTGCAAGTTGTGTAAGCTGGTTGATACTCCAAAAGAATCTATTTATAGTTGGGTATGCATGGCACACTTATGAATGAAAACTGACTTTTCTCATTTATTGACCTACAGTCGCCAAACTTTCTGAGAATGGGCACGGTCACGGATAGATCACGTACATCAAAATATATTTACTCATATTGATCATAAAATTTTAGAATTTAGGTGCGTGCAACAAGTATTAGATACTACTACATATATTACTAATTCTTATTGATAAGTGATTTAAATAAAATTTAAGCACGCCTTAGAGATTTTTGATTTTTTGTATGCAAACAATACAATATAAGACAAAAAAAATAAACCGTTGCAAACGAAATGTAGCAAAGGGGTGAAAACACACGAAATTGTCTTTCTGGCACGCCCACAACGTCTTTCAGCACTTTCCTGTCATTGTCTCACGTTACCCCACGTCTCATTTTGCCCCGTTTTGACACCCCCACCCGCGTACTTCAAACGTACACGACAATACCTTTCAATAGACACCTCACATGACAAAAGTCATTTTTTCGACATTCGACACCTCCCACACGGTCATGGGGTCGTCGCACATCAAAATGATGGCAATTTCTGAAATCCCCGTCCAAAAATACGTCTAAAACGGTGGAAACGAAAAATTGGACAATTTTCGACTTTGGCGTCGTCGACACGGTCATGCGGGCGTCGCACGTCAAAATGATGGCGATTTCTGAAATCCCCGTCCAAAAATACGTCTAAAACGGTGGAAACGAAAAATTCGACACCTTTGACCGTTGGCGTCATCACCGTGGCGCCGTGACCTTACGACCTACAACGCCCATCTTCGAACTCATCCCGTCCCCAAAAATTAGAAACACGTTGGCGAAAACCGGATGCCGAAATTCGAATCCGTTCTAAAGTTATCGTGGATACGGACGGACGGACGGACGGACGGACAGACAGACAAGACATTTCCATAAAGGGGTTTTCACCCCTTAATAATGCTAACTTCCCAAAAGCAGTTTATTTCTGTATCACCTCAGCCGGGTTAAAAACTGATAAATAAATGACTACAATTAATGCACAATTTATCTGTACTTATGAGTATTTAGCACCAACTCTGTAACAACCCACCGGTACCGTCGCCATCACCGTAATTGCCATCATACCGATTTCCTCCTATTATTTCGATGACAGATTCATTACCACGTGGATAGGACCTTCTCCTCTGTGACATTGTATTCTCCCCATTTACATTTTCATGTATCGATTCATCATCGCAGTCTTTAGTCTCTACGATTTTATCCTCACTGCAGTCAAAACTGAGGAAAGGATTGGTCAGAAGATTTTCAATTTCGGCCTTAATCTCCTCGCAGAATTGGTTAAGTGGCTGTAACACAAAAACGCAAAAAAGATTGTTAAAAACTCTAGAAAAATAATTATAGCCAAAAATACATACATGGCAATTCAAAGTAACGTTCAAAACCATGTCAAATGTATGTATGCTTTAAGTTTTTGCCATAATATCATGCAAACAATTTCTATTGAAAAATTGAAATTGTCCATGATTTTGAAAAACAAAAATATACAGTTCTTCGTTCGAGTGATACTTTTTAGACACCTGGAATACGTAGAAACAAATATATACATACCAGATCATTTTCCGTCCCCCACTCCGTATCACTGCCAAACGGATCTTCAACCTCCGCCCCAATCGCGAGAATCCCAAGCAAGGCGAATGACGCTATTCCCACGGCAGGGACGGCAAACCAACCAATACTTCCAATCATCTGGTATGGAAGGGCGAACAAGTAAATCCAAAGGGTTTGAACTAAATGGATGGAATACGCGATTGGTATCGGAGTTCGTAAGATACGTTCCAATCCTGTGAGGGATTCGACCAACGCGACAATATTATTATTCATTCCTCCATGGATTACAGAATCAATTAGTCCTCGCTTCAGGATGGATTTTACGTAAAGGGTCAGATGGTAAGTCAGCTCGAGGGGGATGTTGGGTTTATTCTGAAATATGTAGAATTTCTATGTAAATTATGGTAATTCCGTGATGTGCATAATCCGTTCTAAAGGATAAGCTTCGACGTTAAATTGCTTTTTATGTGATTTTTTTTCGTCCTTTCGTCCTAACATCTATATTATAAGCTGGAAATGTTTGTCTGCGACGGAAGTGAGAGTAATTTTCCGTAACGGAAGTGAAAGTAAAGACAGTCAATTTCCGAATGGTGCGAAAATTCGGAATACATTAAATTTAAAACATCAAATGTCTTACGATAGTTATCTTAGTGGTTTTATGATAGTGGTTATCTGGGAGTGGTTACCCGATGGTGGTTATCTAGGAGTGGTTGTGTCTCCTAGAAGCTTGATTTTTTTTACTTTCACTTCCCCTGCCGACAGACGTAATTCTCGCTCGACCGGCGGAGACGGGCTTATACGCTAGTCCTTTTTTATATTTTTGGCAATGAAACAAAACCACAAAAATCACCCGACAATAATTCAAGCTTAAATTACATAAAAACAATTTAGCAAAAATAAATAATTTTTTCTTTCATCCAAAAATTCACCGCTAATTCTTTCGATGTTGGCCTACTCCAGTAGAGACCATTCGTTTTCATGTCTAAATTTTGATTAGCAAGCAAAATCGTATGCTTGATATTCCAGCAATTTTTATCACGGAGAAGTTGTTCCAATTCGCTTTCCGAAGTTTCCTTATGTTGCAATAGATTTTTCACTGTTACACAAAACACGAGTAGGAGCCGGACTGCGGACACTTTCTCCAGACAGGATTCAATTGATCCGATCGAGTCATCGTGTTCCACCATTAGCCAAATTATTCTGGTTAAGGTTCTTACGGATAGTGTCATGCTGCCCCATATTTTGCGACCTTCCCAATATCTACGTATTTAATTAACCTCTTTTAGACCAAATTCGTCATAGGACGTATTTCGAAACAAAATACGTCATATCACGTATTGAAAAAAAAAATCCATTGAATACCAAATTCATCATGTGACGTACCATGACGACTGTCCCTTGAGGACCAAATACGTCATATCACGTATTTTTAAAAAAACGCAGATTTCTAAAATTTTCTCAAAATGCGAGTGTTTCTTTCGTATTTTGTGGAATGGTAAAAAGTGGAGGTTTTTTGATATTTTTCTTCACAAATTTTGTAATTCTCCCAATACCGACCAATGTTAAAAAGTGGATTTTTTGTGATTTTCGGCAAAAAAACTCAAAACTTGGAAACTGGTTGAAATAAATATTGGTCTTTTATAGGAAATCATGAAAATTTAATTGGTTTCTACCAAATGTAGTTATGAATTTAAAATCGTACTCAAGAGAATTTTTGGTTGAGAATTATGGTCTCAATGAGGTTAACAAATATGTGATGAAATCTGTTACAATAATTATTTACCTGTCGTAGGCAGAATTTGTCCTAAAAACTAGCAGCAATCCGGTCACCACGCCCAAAACTGGAATTAGCGTCTGTGGAAATTCTATGCGAACATGAAATTCTACAAAACTGCCTCCGTCAATGATACAAAGGACAGCGGTGTAGCAAGTTAATAGTAAAACCTGCCACCAAATATTGATTATGACAGAGCCCGAAAAACGGAAGAAGTATGCCAAACTGGTCATATTTCTGAAGCTGTTTTCAAATAACCTTCGACTTGGAATGGTGAGCTTATAAAAAATCTTCACAAAATGATATGCTTAAACAGCTCATTTGTTAACTATTTTATTAAACTTTACATTAAAAAAATAATAAAGAGCATAATTAACATGTAAATGTAACTTGAGCATGCCATATTAGTATGCGGCTTAACTATTTCTGGACTACACACGTGTCTAGCTGATTGCATTAAACTGCATAACGCAACTAAATTTTGAACTGCATTTCAACTGTGAATGAACAATCGTAAGGCAGTATTTACAATTTTAAATAAAGTTAGAGCAACAAGTTTGGAAATTTCCTACCTAACTTAACAAAACGAGGATTTGTATGAATATGTATGTCTTTTATGGTAGTGGTACATCTACCTGTGTGCACCTTACCCTTGCTACAGTCAAAGTGTATTTATGCGCATAGTGCCATAATTTAGTCATAGGTAACTTACATATAAGTTATGAAAGATACAGGTTCAGGTACTTGGATACTCCGCCCGGTAATAACTTAGTTACCAGGTTTCTTAACGTGTATACATGGCATACATACGTACATTTATCATTGAGGTGAAATATTTATGCAGGTCAGGAGCCGTCCATAAATTACGCAACGGAAAAGGGGGGAAGAGAAGGGGTATAAGGATCCAATGATATCAAGCCTATGTTACACATGTTAAATGGGGGAGGCAGGGGGTCTAAAAATTGTGAGTTTTGCGCTACGTAATTTATGGATGACCCTTTATGACTTGATATCGGGATTAGGATTGGGATTGATTTCATTTTAAAATTTTGGGATTGATATTAGTAATTAATGAATAATTTTTAAAATTTCGGATTAAGGACGGGGGTTAAATTTATTGCAGGATTAGGATTAAGACGGGTTCGAGGCTCCAATCGTGCCTATGTGACATGTGAAACGGAAAAGCGAGGCGGATCAGATGGATAATCCGGATTTTTGCAATACATAAATTATGAACTGACCGTTTTTTTGGGGGGGTTTTAGTTTTCCTTCAAACTACGGTAAAAGGAAGGAGGGATTGGATTATTATTTATGAATGGCCCCTTAACTGAGATTTTCCTTCAAACTACATTCTAAAAGTTAAAGAAATCTCTGTAATGTTAGACGAACTTATTTCAAGAAATTTATTTCCTTCAAATTGTAAAAATTAAAAAAAAGTGGAATCAATTAAATGTTTCATGTAATTGAAGTGGAAAATGATAATTTTGGAACGGAAACGAATTCTACTTGTTGGACGCGGCCTCCTTTGCCTTCTCTTGAGCCTCGAATTCTTCGATTTGTTCAGTGCAGGTCAAATTATCCCCCGCCTCCCAAGTGTTGTCCTCCCTACGACATTAAATAGCGTATTAATTAAGTAGATAGTTTAATTCCAATTTTCCCACACTCTATATAAAGATATGTAAATAAAATTTAATAACCGGATGGTACAACAATTGGCTAAAATGTGCCCAACGGTGTGTAAAATTTGCGTGAAATTTGTTCAATGATGGTGTAAAATTTGTGTATTGACAATTTGTTTAAAATCTGAAAAATGTGTGTAAAATTTATGAAAAATTTGTGTAAAATTTATGTTAAATGTATGTAAAATATGTGTAAATTTGTGTAAAATCTTTCGTAAATTTGTGTAAAATTTATTTGAAATCTGTGTAAAATTTGTGTAAAATCTTTCGTAAATTTGTGTAAAATTTATTTGAAATCTGTGTAAAATTTGTGTAAAATCTTTCATAAGTTTTTGTAAAATTTATTTAAAATCTGTGTAAAATTTGTGTAAAATCTTTCGTAAATTTGTGTAAAATTTATTTGAAATCTGTGTAAAATTTGTGTAAAATCTTTCATAAGTTTTTGTAAAATTTATTTAAAATCTGTGTAAAATTTGTGTAAAATCTTTCGTAAATTTGTGTAAAATTTATTTGAAATCTGTGTAAAATTTTTGAAAAATCTTTCGTAAATTTGTGTAAAATTTATTTGAAATCTGTGTAAAATTTTTGAAAAATCTTTCGTAAATTTGTGTAAAATTTATTTGAAATCTGTGTAAAATTTGTGTAAAATCTTTCGTAAATTTGTGTAAAATTTATTTGAAATCTGTGTAAAATTTTTGTAAAATCTTTCATAAGTTTTTGTAAAATTTATTTAAAATCTGTGTAAAATTTGTGTAAAATCTTTCGTAAATTTGTGTAAAATTTATTTGAAATCTGTGTAAAATTTGTGTAAAATCTTTCGTAAATTTGTGTAAAATTTATTTGAAATCTGTGTAAAATTTGTGTAAAATCTTTCATAAGTTTTTGTAAAATTTATTTAAAATCTGTGTAAAATTTGTGTAAAATCTTTCGTAAATTTGTGTAAAATTTATTTGAAATCTGTGTAAAATTTGTGTAAAATCTTTCATAAGTTTTTGTAAAATTTATTTAAAATCTGTGTAAAATTTGTGTAAAATCTTTCGTAAATTTGTGTAAAATTTATTTGAAATCTGTGTAAAATTTTGAAAAATCTTCATAAGTTTTTGTAAAATTTATTTAAAATCTGTGTAAAATTTGTGTAAAATCTTTCGTAAATTTGTGTAAAATTTATTTGAAATCTGTGTAAAATTTGTGTAAAATCTTTCATAAGTTTTTGTAAAATTTATTTAAAATCTGTGTAAAATTTGTGTAAAATCTTTCGTAAATTTGTGTAAAATTTATTTGAAATCTGTGTAAAATTTGTGTAAAATCTTTCGTAAATTTGTGTAAAATTTATTTGAAATCTGTGTAAAATTTGTGTAAAATCTTTCGTAAATTTGTGTAAAATTTATTTGAAATCTGTGTAAAATTTTTGTAAAATCTTTCATAAGTTTTTGTAAAATTTATTTAAAATCTGTGTAAAATTTGTGTAAAATCTTTCGTAAATTTGTGCAAAATTTATTTAAAATCTGTGTAAAATTTGTGTAAAATCTTTCGTAAATCTGTGTAAAATTTGTGTAAAATCGTTTGTAAATTTGTGCAAAATTTATTTAAAATCTGCATAAAATTTGTGTAAAATCTTTCGTAAATTTGTGCAAAATTTATTTAAAATCTGTGTAAAATTTGTGTAAAATCTTTCGTAAATTTGTGTAAAATTTATTTGAAATCTGTGTAAAATTTGTGTAAAATCTTTCGTAAATTTGTGTAAAATTTATTTGAAAATCTGTGTAAAATTTGTGTAAAATCTTTCGTAAATTTGTGTAAAATTTATTTGAAATCTGTGTAAAATTTTTGAAAAATCTTTCATAAGTTTTTGTAAAATTTATTTAAAATCTGTGTAAAATTTGTGTAAAATCTTTCGTAAATTTGTGTAAAATTTATTTGAAATCTGTGTAAAATTTGTGTAAAATCTTTCGTAAATTTGTGTAAAATTTATTTGAAATCTGTGTAAAATTTGTGTAAAATCTTTCGTAAATTTGTGTAAAATTTATTTGAAATCTGTGTAAAATTTTTGAAAAATCTTTCATAAGTTTTTGTAAAATTTATTTAAAATCTGTGTAAAATTTGTGTAAAATCGTTTGTAAATTTGTGCAAAATTTATTTAAAATCTGCATAAAATTTGTGTAAAATCTTTCGTAAATTTGTGCAAAATTTATTTAAAATCTGTGTAAAATTTTTGTAAAATCTTTCATAAGTTTTTGTAAAATTTATTTAAAATCTGTGTAAATTTGTGTAAAATCTTTCGTAAATTTGTGTAAAATTTATTTGAAATCTGTGTAAAATTTGTGTAAAATCTTTCGTAAATTTGTGTAAAATTTATTTGAAATCTGTGTAAAATTTGTGTAAAATCTTTCGTAAATTTGTGTAAAATTTATTTGAAATCTGTGTAAAATTTGTGTAAAATCTTTCGTAAATTTGTGTAAAATTTATTTGAAATCTGTGTAAAATTTTTGTAAAATCTTTCGTAAGTTTTGTGTAAAATTTATTTAAAATCTGTGTAAAATTTGTGTAAAATCTTTCGTAAATTTGTGTAAAATTTATTTGAAATCTGGTGTAAAATTTGTGGTAAAATCTTTCGTAAATTTGTGTAAAATTTATTTGAAATCTGTGTAAAATTTGTGTAAATCTTTCGTAAATTTGTGTAAAATTTATTTTGAAATCTGTGTAAAATTTGTGTAAAATCTTTCGTAATTTGTGTAAAATTTATTTGAAATCTGTGTAAAATTTTTGTAAATCTTTCATAAAGTTTTTGTAAAATTTATTTAAATCTGTGTAAAATTGTGTAAATCATCTTCGAATTTGTGCAAATTATTTGATAATCTGTGTAAATTTGTTAAAATCGTCGTAATTTTAAATTTATGATGTGTAAATGGTAACTGTAAATTTGTTAAAATACTTATTTGGAAATCTGTGTAAAGGATATTGTCGATAGATA